CATTCCCCGCCCACCGAGCCGCAAGTACAACGCTAGAGCCGGGGAGAAAACCCAGCCACCCTCTTCGCCACCCAACCCCACAGCCATATAAACAGCCCGAGTCCGTCCCTTTTCTTAGAGTGGGGGCAGGGGGCGGGGTCTTAGGTGTCCAGAGCGCTTGCTAAGACAACAGTTGCTAGTGTCTGATTGGCCGTGGAACTTGCGCTCCCGCACCCCCAACGCTCTGCGCCCCAGTTCGAAGTACGTCCGTACCTTTCTGCGAGCCCGCAACCCTCACTTCTCTTTAATGGACTCTTCGGTTTCTTCACCTGAATCCTCGCCACTCCCCTCACCCCGTCTCCAGACACACCCACCGCTTTACAACCGTCGTCAGCTCAGGCGGCCGAAACCTCTGAGGTCAGACCCCTGAGTCCCCAGCGGCTCCAGGGACTACATCTCCCAGGAAGCCTCGCGCGGGCCGCGCCCTCCAGCCAATAGGGCCGTGACTCAGCCTCAGTCTTGCGGGCCTATCAGAATGCGGGAGAGCAGGGAGGCGTTTCCTCGGCGACCCCAGTGGAAGGCTGAGCGCGTCGGGAGAGAGTCCCCCCTCCGGGCTGGGGAGAATAGGGGCTGGAGATCTGCGTCCTTGCAAAGTGAGAGGAGCCGTCTGTTCAGGGCCTTTCTAGCCAAGGGGATCCCATCCTTTTTTTTTTTTTTAACGGCGACGTCTGTATTTATTGGGTAGAAGGGCCGGGTGCTGGGATTAGAGGTTCATAGTAACTCCGAAGCCAACAGGTTGCAGCAAGAGGAGCCGCGAAGCACAGATTTTCACTAGAGATAAGCAACTTACCCTCTCGGGATCCCATCTTTAATAGTCTCGTTTTTGTATCCGTTTGCAAAGCTCTTCGACAGGCACAAGAGTCACTGTCTTACAAGTGATGAAGATGAATGAGGCTCACCGACTCCACTCTGAGTGGCATATATCCTTGGATACTCCAGGCGTTATTTTTTTAGCGTATGTTGTGAATTTTCACTCAAATCAGGGATGGAGTTTTGAGAATGCCTTGCTCGCGCCATGGTCTACCTTATGGGAATGAAGAAATGCAGAAAATCCCCTACTATCTCCAGAGAGACCTGGAGACGCTTAAATTGACACTGCGGTGTGTTTGGTGCAATGTAGTATCTGTATTTCCCTTTTTACATTTAGAATCGTCAAAAGTTCAGACAAAAAAAAAAAGTAAAACCAATGAATCACTGAAGTGGTAATTAGTAAAAGTTTATTGTGCACACACCAAAAACACAGTTAGCAAACTGGGAGCATTCAAACCAAAACAAGGAATGAGGCTCAGAAGTATATTGTTTTAAAGTATCTTATATAGTGTGGAGGCAGTGACTGTTTATTCTTCACAGCGATTGGTTACAATATTAGAATTTTCTTAAATGAAAGGGAATTGCTTAGCGGTTACTTCATATCAATTTGGGGTAACAATTTAAGTTTTGCTTATGATTTTCAGAGGCATAAGCAGAAAATACCCAGGTCACTGTAACCTGGCTTGTCTTGCAAATTAAGTATGCTAATAAGTTAAGCTTTGCTCTTATTTTATTTTATTTTATTTATTTTTTTATTTTGGCTGCGTTGGGTCTTCGTTGCTGTGTGCGCGCTTTCTCTAGCTGTGGCGAGCGGGGGCTGCTCTTTGTTGCGGTGCGCGGGCTTCTCATTGCGGTGGCTTCTCTTGTTGTGGAGAAAGGGCTCTAGAGCGCAGGCTCAGTAGTTGTGGCGCACAGGCTTAGTTGCTCCGTGCCATGTGGGATCTTCCGGGACCAGGGCTCAAACCTGTGTCCCCTTCATTGGCAGGCGGATTCTTAACCACTTTGCTACCAGGGAAGTCCAAGCTTTGCTCTTATGAGTATAAATTTCTCTTCCTTCTTGGTACCAAGAATAGCTGGATTTCTCCTAAGCCACTATAGTAGTTCGCTTTTACCCGAGATACACTGTGAATCACGTAACTGATCTTGTATTCTTCTTGCTTTGGCTGCTGAGGTTTCTCAAAGCCAAACTGTGGGCTACCTTTTGCCAGTAAACAGCAGTTTACAGTGGGCAATTTCTAATCCCATCTTATCCCTGGCTCCATCTTATTTATTCCTGCCCTGTTTTCCTTTTCTCACTTTCTCCCCTCACTTAATTATTTTTAAAAGATGAGGCAGCTAGCATTCTTCAGTTAACTTTTTTGAACAAAGCATCAGAAAAGGCATTGGGAACAGAGAAATATGTCATTCAATGATATCAGTGAGAGCAGATGAAAGCACTTGATATTCTGCAGATGAAGGCAAAAGTTACATTACAGGAGAAAGGGAGATAAGAGCTAAGCAAATCACTATATCATGATCAGGGTCCACAGTCACACAACCCAGAAGCAGGAACTAGTGGAGCCCGGACTGGTAATCAGCTAGTAAGGAGGCCTACATCTCCTCTCACTGGGAGGAGATGAAAAATGCTTGAACTGCCTTCATAGAACATGATATTCTCTTCTGTATTCCGTTACTAGTTATATAGGTGGATATTGTCTGGAGCTAGATTTGCCTATACTATAAAGGGTTCTCTTATTTGTGAATTTGCATTCTGTCCAATTCCCTTGCCATCCTTGGCCACCCAACCCTACTCAAAGCCTTGTCCTGCAATACTGGGAAAAGAGCTTTTGACTTCCTGCCAGACTGTGATAGCATTCCCACACAGATGAAAAAGTAGACTTGTGCAAAGTTTCTGCCCTCCAGGGACTTTCAAACCGCCTGGAGAGATCAGATGCAAACATGTGACAAGTTATGTCATTAAATTATTACATGTTGGGACTTCCCTGCTGGTCCAGTGGTTAAGACTCTGCGCTCCCAATGCAGGGGGCCTGGGTTTGATGCCTGATCAGGGAACTAGATCCTGCATGCATGCTGCAACTAAGAGCCCACATGCCGCAACTAAAAGATCCTGCAGGCCACAGCTAAAGATCCCACAGGCCACAAAGAAGATCCCGCACGTGGCAACGAAGACCCAGCGCAGCCAAATAAATAAATACTTTAAAAGTATTACATGTTGCTCTAAATTTTTAAAATGATGAATATGAGCCTTGTGAGTAGTGAATTTTTTCTGTGTAAGTGGATGGGACATAAAAATTAATCCCCAAAAAATCTGCCTTTTCCTGTTCTTTTGTCCTGTTAATGTCCAATCAAAACAGATCACAACAGACTAATACAGCCGCTTACCTGCTAGAGCCTAAAGTAGGGGTTGACTGCCTGTGCTTTTGCACAAACTATGGTTAAATCATTAGTTTATAATTTAAACTTTAGTCCACAGATATGTCATATGGAATCCTGACCCTGCCTGGGACTTTGCATTCATAAATCAGGACATTAATTGTACAATACTTATTGAAATAAATGATATTTTAAATGCATTTACCCATAACATAACTTAGATAATTCTTCATTTGTTAAATAATGCAGATGATTTAATGTAAATATTAAACTAATGTATAGTATCCTTCATTTCAGTTGCATGGTTTATTTTTCTGAACACTGGCACAGAAAAGAAGAGGTGGGGTGGCAGTGTCCATGCAGATACTTAAAACGAAGTGAGGAAGAGGGAGTAAATGATAGAGCAGGGGAGTAGGGCTTAGAATAGGACAAAATCCTTGGCAACCTGGATACTGTGAAGCATTGCAAGGAAGCTGGGCATAGGAAATCTAAAGTTGGAGGGGATGATACAATCTACTATGGATTTATTGCCTATAAATTTAACCCATTTTAAAATTAAAGGGACTTGCCTGGTGTCACAGTGGTTAAGAATCCGCCTGCCAATACAGGGGACACGGGTTCGAGCCCAGGCCCAGAAAGATCCCACATGCCGCGGAGCAACTAAGCCCATGTGCCACAACTACTGAGCCTGTGCTCTATAGCCTGCAAGCCACAACTACTGAGCCCGTGTTCCGCAACAAGAGAAGCCGCTGCAACGAGAATCCCAAGCACCGCAACAAACAGCAGCCCCCGTGCAGCAACGAAGACCCAACGCAGCCAAAAATAAATAAATTTATTTTAAAATAATAATTTTTAAAATTAAATTAAATTAAAATATGTCCTCAGTCCACATGGACTCTTTAAGCATTATCTCTTCTGTGAAGCTTAATCTCTTCTGTGAAGTCTTTCACTGTACCCTCTCCATTAGGCATGGTTGATTATTTCCACCTCTGGTTATACAAATGGACACTGCATACACCTCAAAGTACTGCATTTACCACACTGTCCTGCAAGGATTTGTTTAAGTGTCTGTCTCCCTTAGGAGACTGAACAACGGAGGACGGGGACTATGTCTTCCCAGTTTTGTGTCTGTAGTGTCAAGCACGATGCCTGGCATGTAGAAGATACTCAACAAACCTTTCTTGCATTAAATGAATACCCAGTGGATGAATGACCACTTATTGTACAGTTGGAACTTTAACTTTCCCTAAAACAAAATTTACAAAACTTTATTCACAGATAATGTGTTAAAGAATGATTAATTTTTGGCTGCGTTGGGTCCTCGTTGCTGCGCGTGGGCTTTCTTTTTAGTTGCGGTGAGCGGGGTCTACGTCTTCACTGCCGTGCACGAGCCTCTCATTGCGGTGGCCTCTCGCTGCTCCGCAGCATGTAAGGATCCTCCCGAGCCCAGCCTCGAACTCGGGTCCCCTGCGTTGGCAAGCAGATTCCCAACCACTGCGCCATCAGGGAAGGGAAGCCCCTTCATTTTTAAAGGGAGAATATCCTTTAGTTCGGTAACCTTAAGGACTATAAACGCCACATTAAAATGTACTCGTGCAGAATATCTCTGAGGGGTGAGGACAGCGAACCACCGAGATGCACCTCACTCCTCCGGGGAGCCTAGAGAGGCCCCGGAAATGCCCGGGAGGGGTGGACACAGCAGGGAGTCGGGGACGCACTTCCTGCTGGGGCTATTCCTGCTGGTTTTTGTCACGGGAGTTGGCAGCCTCTGGGAGGGGTAGCTGCGGGTAGGAGGGGGCTGGGCAAGGTGGGGGCTTGTTAGGGAGGGGACGGTGGGCAGCCGCTGCTTTGGGGAGATCCGATGAGCTCCGTGGCTTTTTGCTGGGTTTGCTGTCATTTCACCTGAAGGCAGAACTCCGGGAAAGTGCGCACTTGCAGGAGAAGGATGAGTTGGATCTGGACCGCAAGTCAAGGCAGGGTCGCTGCTCTGCCCCTGAGTGACGGACCTTGGATAGTGAAAGTGGAGGAAGATTCACCCGGAGGTGGGGAGTCCGACCCACCAGGGGACTGTCCGGATCCCGAAACTTCCCGACGGCATTTTAGGCGGTTCCGTTATCAAGAGGTGGCCGGACCCGAAGAGGCGCTGAGCCGACTCAGGGAACTTTGTCGTCGGTGGCTGAGGCCCGAGGTGCACTCGAAAGAGCAGATCCTGGAGCTGCTGGTGCTGGAGCAGTTTCTGACCAGCCTGCCCCAGGAGCTCCAGGCCTGGGTGCGCAAGCACTGCCCGGAGAGCGGGGAGGAGGCTGCCGCCTTGGTTTGGGCTCTACAGAGAGAGCTTGATGAGACCTCACGCCAGGTGAGGAGTGAACGTGTTCTGGTGGTGGGAATGGAGGTGTGAGGGATGCTGTGGTCTTCATAAGTTCTTTCCTTATTATATTTTGCGTGAACTTTAGGATGTGTATGAAACATGAGCCCTTTAACCTAATGGGACGTCACACGATCTCCAGGTAGGTAGGGTCAGAGTTGTTAAACCGTAGGACACCCAGCTGGTGCCACAGAATTGCCTGACCTGTGGAAATGCACACACCTGGTGTCAGAAGTGAAGGAGTGTTGTAGTGAATATTCAGAGTACTGAGAGCAGAGGAGACACACAGGAGTGTGGTTTTCCTTTACAAGGAAAGGAGAGGCTCAGGGGAAAACACATTACTGCTGTTGGTGAGGTACCTTCCTCTGAAGATAGATCTTTGTATCCATTTCACAGGTGAGGAAACAGCATCTGAAAGCCAGCACTGCAACTCGGGACTCTGGTTAACCTGTATATTTTCAATCCGTATCAGGTTTCTGCTTTGATAAATCACAGCAGTATAACCCAAATGAATATTTTGCTCTCCCCCCAAGTTAGTGTAGACAGTTCATAGAAAGGCTTTTCAGGATTGCAGGAGAATGCCAGCTTCTGTTTTTAGTCACTTTGCAACTCCCGCATCAGTACAAGGCTCACTGATAAAGACTCCGTTGGTCGTGACTCGGTTTCTCAGCGCTCGCAGACTCCTCTCTGGAGTCCGGCTTCATCCTGGCACTGTTGGTGATGCCATCCTGGGACAGCAGGTGCTGACGGAGGTCTTGTGTTGTTTCAGGGGTTGGTGACAGTCCAGGATGTGGCTGTGTCTCTAACCTGGGAGGAGTGGGAGCGTCTGGGCCCAGCACAGAGGGACCTCTACAGGGAGAGTGCGCCGAAGGATTATGGGAACGCAGTCTCGCCAAGTAAGTGCCCTGCCTTTGCTTGTTTCCAGCTGTGTGATTCGTGGAGGGCTTGCTTCAGTAAATCCCCCAGCCAGCCTGCCATTCAGACACAGGTTGAGAGCCTTCGAGTCCCTTTTGTGACCCAAGCAAGACGTCTCTGTTCTGTATTGTTAGGTGATAGAGTCAGCTTTTTATTTTGGTTCATTTTTTAATAAAAATACATAAGAAAGTATAAAAACATAGAATGAGCACCTGAGGATTAACCACCCAGGTTTATCGAATTTTAATATTGGCCATGGCTTCATTTTTTTTTTCTGAAGAGATAATATATTACAGCCATAGCTATAGGTGAAGCTCTGTGTACCCTCCCTGAAAGCTCTACCCTTGATCCTTCTCCAGCGGTAACCAATATCCTGACTTACCATTTCCATGCTTGTTTATATTCTTTCTACTTATACATGTAGCCACATATACACACTCTCTCTATATAAATGTATGTAAACACGTAAATATGTAAACATGTAAACGTATATAGTATTTTTACATGTTTTTATAGTATATAAACTATATTACTGTATGCTTCTTTTGCACCTTGGCTTTTTTCTCAACATTGCATTTTTGGGATTTATCCATGTTGATACGTGTAGCTCTAGTTTATTCATTTTAACATCTATATATTTCATTGTATGACTATTCCAATATTTACTTAGCCATTCTCCTGTCAACGGACGTTAAGGCTTCTAGTTTTTCACCATTACACACAGTATTATACCAAACGTTCCTGTCTCTTTCTCCCTGTGTTCATATGTAGGAGTCTCTGAAGAGAATATACTTAGGGATGTTTGCCCATCTTGCTGTCCGAAATGATGGGAGCCAATCTGTACTCCTACCCCCCGTATATGAGAATTCTTCTTTCTCCACACCCTTGGCAACATTTGGTGTTCAGCTGACAGCACGATGTCTTAACCCAGTAGCCCAAGTGTTCCTTTTAGAATGTTGGTTTGCATCACACCTCTGCTCATAACCTGAATACTCCTCATTTCACGCAGAGTAAAAGCCTGTGGTGCCTGATGGGACGTGGCCCTGTTCCCTTCTGCTTTTCCCTCACTTACGCCCCCAGCCTCACTGACCTTGCTGCTCCTTGAGCGTGGTGGGCATCCTGCCTCACGGTCTTTGCTCTGATTGCTCCCTCTGCCTGAAATATTATTCCTCCGGATCTCCACCAAACAGACTCCCTGGCTTGTTTCAAGCCTGTGCTCACATCTCACTTTTCGGCGAGGCCTGACCTGACCGTCATGTTAATACATGATTCCTGCCATCAGCCACCTCACAGATCCCTTGCCTTGCCTGACGTGGTCCATAGCATTTATTACCCTCTGACATCCTATATATTTGACTTTATGTTCATCTGTTGTCTGACCACCCCTTCTGGAATGTCAGCTCCACAGGGGGAAGGATTTTTGTGTGTTTTGTTCATTTATATCCCAAGTGCCAAGAATAGTGCCTGGCACAGAGTAGGTGCTCAGTAAGTAATACTGTTAGGATTAATGAATGGTGTATCCTTATCTCCTCTCCTTTCCTCCACTATCTTTTAAATTGTTTTGTGGCTGTTCTTTATGTTTTTGATACTAATCCTTTGTTATTTTATTGGTTATAGAGGTGGCTTGTCTTTCTAACCATGGCATTTTTGTTATATAAAATTTTGAAATTTTAATATAGTCAAATTTTTCAATCTTTTACTTTATGGTTTGTGTTTTTCGAATCTTCTTAGGAAAATAGGCCCTTCTCAATCCTGATTCCAACTTTGCAGAGACAACAACTTTAAAATCTTTTCACCCCTTCCAGTGGTATTTATTTTCATATTTCTAAATAAGATGCTTATTCTGCTGGGTTTTTGTTTCTCAGTTTCAGTTATTATCTCTTGACTGCCTGCTAAGGAAGACAGGGTCCTGTCTCCCCAGCATGCTCACATTTACAGTCCGTAATTCTCTCAGCATAGTTTAATCAGTCTGTTTTTGTTAAGGGAATGTTTCAGTATTATGCCTATATAATCTATATTCACCCACCTAATATATATGACTGTAAGTCTTTTCCTTTACAGCTTTTAGTTTTTCTCAGAATTAATAATGCCTCATTCTGCACGTGCCTCCTTTTTTAACTCCTGAGCACCAGTTCACCCACAAACTCTCTGTTAGAAATGTAAACCCCTCTCAGTAAGTTCAGATTCATCAGATGGGCCATCGGTTTCATTCTCCCCTTGGAGAGTTCCTCCTCAAGCTTCCTCTGCTCCAGGCTGGATGGGCTTCTCCAGGTCAGTTACACAGCTGTTGTCCTAGAACGTTCCTTCACTCTCACCTTTTTCTCTTTCCCGGATCCCATACGATTTTCTTCCTTGGTTTACCCCCTCCATTTGATACAGAACGACCTCCAGTATATTACAGAGAACATATACTTGGGAACTCAATACACGTCTAAACGCCTTTATTCCTCTCTCACATCCAGATCATGGTGTGGCTGGATGTAGCATTCTACTTTAGAAATGACTCTACCTTTGAATTTTGAAGACGGTGGATTTTGTAACTAGCTTGCCATGTTGCAGTTGAGAAATCTGACGCCACAGTGATATTTTATTCTTGGTGTGTGATCTGTTCTGTGCAGAAGACTTTAGGAGCTTTTCTTTATTTCTGCTGGTAGGAAATTTCACAATGGGTGTGGCTGGGTGTGAGGTTTCTTTTTTCATTCACTGTTCTGAGTAGTTGGTGGGCCCTGACAATATAGACGCCTGCGTCTTTGAGTTGTGAGAAATTTTTTGTAGTATTCTTTTATTTTATCTATTTATTTTTATCTCATTTTTTCCTGTTTTCTTTCTGGGATTTCTTCCAGTTGGATGTTGGAACTCATGGGCTGATCCTGTAGGGTTCCCTACCTCCTTCCCATTTCCTTATCTTTTCTTTCCCTTTCTGGGAAATCTCCTTAGCTTTATTTTCCAACTCTTAGGTTGAAATATTTCTGCTCTCATTAATATTTTGAAGAGCTTTTTCTTTTTCTTTAAACATCCCTTTTCCTTTCTTTCTTTTTTTCTTAAGATTTTTTTGATGTGGACCCCTTTTTTTAAAGTCTTTATTGAAATGGCCACAAGACCGCCCCTGTTCTATGTCTTGGCTCTTTGGCCGTGAGGCATGCGGGATCCCAGCTCCCTGACCAGGGATCGAACCTGCACCCTCCGCATTGGAAGGCAAAGTCCCAACCACTGGACCACCAGGGAAGTCCCGAAATATCCCTTTTCTTATTTTTTTAAATAGATTTATTTATTTATTTATTTTTGGCTGCGTTGGGTCTTCGTTGCTGGGCGCGGGCTTCCTATAGTTGCGGTGAGCAGGGGCTACTCTTCATTGCAGTGCGCTGGCTTCTCGTTGCGGAGTGCGGGCTCCAGGCATGCAGGCTTCAGTAGTTGTGGCACTCAGGCTCAGTAGTTGTGGCTTGGGGGCTCTAGAGTGCAGGCTCAGTAGTTGTGGCACATGGGCTTAGTTGCTCCGCGGCATGTGGGATCTTCCCGGACCAGGGCTCGAACCCATGTTCCCTGCATTGGCAGGCGGATTCTTAAGCACTGCACCACCAGGGAAGCCATATCCCTTTTCTTATAGCTTCCTTGTTTCCTGGGTGCAGTATTGTCTCTTATTTATCTGAGAATATTAATTATAGGTTATTCAGTTTTCTCTCATTTCATGGATTGCATGTTTCATTGGCATTTCTATCAGAGGTTTTCCTGAAATGCTGGTAACCTTTCACTTTCTGTTTGTGTTTAGCAGTTAAACCCAAGCATTCCGACTGGAAACTATTGGGAAGGACTTGTGAACTGTGATCTTCAGGACAGGGTCAGGCATCAGGCGCTGTTTTACCTGGAAATTCCCACATGTCAGTGTCTCTGGGTCTTTGGCCCAGGCTGCTAAGTTTTCCCATAGAGAGATTCAGTCAACAGATATTTCATTGCGTGCAGATAAGCCAGGTGCAGTTCTAGGTGGGAATCCAGTAGGGACTAAAGCCTATGAAATCCCTGCCCTTTCTGCCAGGAGGATGTCAGGCTCGGGGCTGACAGTTTGAGCCTGAACAGAGGACAGTGCATGGAGGTTCCACCAGTCAGTGTATCCATTTTCACTTGACTCTCCTCATGGGGAGGTGGTACCTGTCCCCTGTTCTCAGCTGTGCCTCATGGCCCCAGTCCCGAATTTATCTGCTTCAGCCTTCCTGGAGAGTAAACTGCAAGAATTCTGGACTGGGGGATGGAATCCTTCACAGACTTTCCATCAGTCCTAGATTTACTGCCTACCCAGAGCCTGCCTTCAGACTGGAGGCACCTGGCGTGTCTGTTACTGTAGCTCATTTCTCTTAGTAAAGCATCCTGCGTGCATGGGATAAGGGTTGTACCGTCTGTGTCGACACCTTCTCCAGTAGTGCCTCGTGTAATACAGTGATTCACACAACAGTGCAGTGGGGCTGGGGCAGGAGAGACGTGTTGGCCGGCAGAGGCACAAGTATAAAAGGAAAGAAACGGGGTTTGTACAGGTAAATGTGAGCACATCTGACAGGTTAGTTAAAATAATTTAATTTCAGGAGTGGTTTCATGGAGGACATTAAAAGGGCTTTGGCGGGGGGGGGTGTTTTTCTGCTAGCACTTTCTTACTCACTCTTGTGCAAGGATGAAATGTCAGCAATCTGTATCTTAATGTTTCAGGTTTGGAAACCAGAACTGAGAACAAAGAGTTGATTCTAAAGCAAGAAATTCTAGAAGAAGTGGAGCCACAAGGGCAGCTACAAGAGTCCCAGGAGAAGGGGCCCCTGTCTTCCAAGTGTGGTGTTGCCCATGAGGACAGGATAGAAAAGCCATCAGGCGACCCCTCACTGCTGAAACTTGAAAAGCCTCCTGAAGATCAGGGAGCCACCAGCATCTCAGATCTCAAGAGTGCTCCCAGAGAAGAGGGAGACTCCAAAAAGAATGAATTGGGGACTAGTGCCAGAAGTTCAAACTTTGTTCCTGCTCAGTACATCCAGACAGCAGAGAGACCCATTACCGGTGATGAATGTGGGAACTATTGCAAACACAGGTTAGATACCGTGAAACCTCATGAATCTCTTGACAGTGGGGAAAACTGCCATCATTCAAGCCTACTTGAGGCGCAGAGGCAGTTCCATGAAGAAAGACCTTATACGTGTGACACCTGTGAGAAGAGTTTCAAACAGCGTTCCGACCTCTTTAAACACCAGAGAACCCACACCGGGGAGAAGCCCTACGGGTGTTCTGTCTGTGGGAAAAGCTTCAGTCAGAGCGCTACCCTCGTTAAACACCAGAGGACTCACACTGGAGAGAAGCCTTACACCTGCCCCAAGTGTGGGGACAGCTTCAGACAGAGCTCAAATCTCAGTCGGCATCAGAGAGTCCACATGGGGGAGAAGCACTACATGTGTCACGAGTGTGGGGAAATCTGCCGTATCTCCAACCATTTTAGACATCAGAGGACACACCAGGGAGAGAGACCCTACACGTGTGAAGAGTGTGCGAAGAGCTTTAAACGGTGTTCCGACCTCTCCAAACACCAGAGAATCCACACCGGGGAGAAACCCTACGAATGCCAAGAATGTGGGAAAAGCTTCAGTCAGAGCGCAACCCTTGTTAAACACCAGAGAACTCACACTGGAGAGAAGCCTTACAGATGTCTTGAATGTGGGGACAGCTTTAGACAGAGTTCACACCTCATCCGACACCAAAGAATCCATAGAAATAAAGCCCCATCATTTTGACATGCTTCTGCATGAGCTGTTTTGTTTCTCTCTCTCTCTTTCTTTCCAGAAACTACATTCTTTGGCTTTTGGAGTATTTCAGTAATCGTGGGTCATACTGCCCTGGGCATTACACCCAAGAAAGATTGAGTCCAGCTAGAGTCTAGGGACACCCTTTGGTAGCGTATTGCCTTGAAGCAGGACTGCGTGAGTCAGGAGCCCCACCGGAACACACTTTCCAGCAGAGCGAGGGCGGAACCGTGAGAGTTCTGTCCTTGTCACTCTTCTGGAACCTCTGCTTTTGGACCAAATCTTGTCCCCCCGTGTTGCTTCCCTGAGAATGTATCGCAGTCACTTAGAATTGTCTTTCTACTTAGATGGTAGATATTTTATACTCCAGAACACCTTGTACAGTTCAGTGCCTACAAGAGGCACTCTATATATTTGACTTTTTAAAAAATTAATTTTGCAGAGTCCCTCTTTCTTTCCCATTCTTTCCTTGTTGCATTAAACACAGCTAAGAACTTGGATTAGAGCCTAAATCTATCTGATTATCTTTCTAGTGCCACCCACTGATAATATGCATTGCATCCAAATTTTTGGAACTTTTTTTTTAAATTAAGGGAATACAAGTACATTATTGGATATCTGGGAAAACAATAAGGGAAAAATTACCCAAAATCCCAACACCACAATCCATTTGATACCGGTCTTTTGGTGTATTTCCTTCTGATTCTTTTTCTATGCACATTTTTCTATATAACAAAAATCACAGTGTTTATATTTTATATCTTCTTTAGTATTATGTCTTAAGGATTTTACATGGTTTTCCTAAACGTTATGCCTAATAGCTGGTCATTTTCCATCAAGTGGATGTAACAATTCCTTTTGTTGGAAGTTTCAGGTCTGTCTCATTTTTCATTGTTGCAAAAAATGCTGTAGTGAATGTCAGTGTAATTTTAGGATTTGGATTGTTCTTTAGAATCTAACGCTACGTTCAGAGAAGTAGAATTCCTTGATCAGTGTTTTAGTTATTTTATGGCTTTCAATACACCTTTCCCCCAAAGCAAGTGCCAGATTACATTCTATTATGAGTGTACCCAGGAAGAAAAGAAACATTTTTGATAAACTGGTAGCAATCTTCAGTGAGACTCAAAAAGCACTATCTATAAAAGATTGATAAATTTAACTACACTATATTAGGAAAAGACAAAATAGGAATTACAGCCCATGGAGATGAAAACATACTCAATTACATTAGTAATAAGAAAAATGCAAATTAAGCCACAACTAGATACCATTTCACACCTTACAGATGATCAAACCTTTCAAAATCTGTCAGTACCAAGTACTAACAGAGATGTAGAGTGGTGGGAGCTCTCCTCAGCTGTTGGTTTGTAAGTTGTTACATTTACTAGGGAAAACAATTTGGTGCTACTTCTTAAAGTTGAACATGTAGATAACTTATTTCTAGGTCTTTTCACAGGGAACCAAGAGGCATTTGACATGCTCTTTTGTAAAAGCCCCAAACTGGAAACATCCTGAAAACTGATCAGCCAAAGAGTTTCATAAATTGTGCTATATTCCTGCAGTGGGATACTCAGTGTCAGTGAATATGACTGAACCACAGCTATACAGAGATGCATGATTCTCAACACATATGTAGTGAAAGAACAAGAGTATGATTCCATGTACACTAAGTTCCAGAAAAAGCAAAACTAGGTAATATATTGTCCAGACAGAGATAAGTGGTATATCTACATAATGCAAGAGAATGATTAACCTTTGTTGAAGAGGAAGGGAGATGAGACTGCAGAGAATATAAGGGACTTTTGTGATCCTGAAGGTGATTTATTCCTTAACTAGGATGAGGAGGCATGGGTGTTACTATTTACTGTCATATATATTCATATACTTTTGAACTGTGATATCTCACAAAAAACATGAAGAGTTTATTGTGAAATATTGCTAACATACACATGAGTGTAGACTAGAGAGAACAATTTTAAAGAACATTCGCATATGCACCACACCGATTAATCAATTCTTAATATGTCATATTTGTTTCATATCATTTTTTTTTTTTTTTGGCTGTGCCACACGGCTTGTGGGATCCTAGTTCCCTGACCAGAAATCAAACCTGGGCCCCCTGTAGTGAAAGTGTGGAGTCCTAACCACTGGACCACCAGGGAATTCCCTTCATATCATTTTTAAGGAAATAAAATAATATAGGACTTCCCTGGTGACGCAATGGTTAAGAATCCACCTGCCAATGCAGGGGACACAGGTTCGAGCCCTGGTCTGGGAAGATCCCAGAAGCCACAGAGCAACTAAGCCCGTGCAACACAACTACTGAGCCCGTGCTCTACAGCCCGTGAGCCACAACTACTGAGCCCACACACCACAACTACTGAAGCCTCCACACTTAGAGCCCGTGCTCCGCAACAAGAGAAGCCACTGCAATGAGAAGCCTGTGGAGCGCAATGAAGAGTAGCCCCCGCTCGCCGCAACTCGAGAAAGCCCGCGCACAGCAATGAAGACCCAACGCAGCCAAAAATAAAATATAAATACATTAATTAAAAAAAAAACAACAATGTATACTGTAAGGCAGTGGTCCCCAACCTTTCCAGCACCAGGGCCCAGTTTCGTGGAAGACAATTTTTCCATGGATGGGGGTTGGTGGGGTGGGGAGATGGTTAAGGCAGTAAGGCACGCGACGGGGAGCGACATATGAAGCTTCACTTGCTCGCCTGCCACTCACCTCCTGCTGTGTGGCCCAGTTCCAGTACTGGTCCTCAGCCCAGGGGTTGGGGACCCCTACTGTAAGGGACACTCATGTGCCCTCCCTAATCCCATTCCCCTCACCTTCAAGCCAACTCATTACCCAAGGAGAGCACGTTTCTGTAGTTGTCCAGCATCACGTCTCTGTAGAGGTCCTTCTGAGCCCAGTCCAGTGTGTCCCGCTCTTCCCTGGTGAAGTACAGAGCCACGTCCTCAAAGGACAGCAACCCCTGGAAACACAGCGACTTTGTGAGCTACAGTATTATTATTACAGATGGTCAATATTTGAGGCTTCTCTGGCCATTTGATCTCTGCTGCAGTCACTCATCTCTGCTCTGGTAGCACAGACACAGCACAGACAACACGAGAGCAAACGGGTGTGGCTGTGACCCAACAGAACTACTCCCGGCTCCAGGTGAGTTTGCCGACCCTGCTCTGTACAACCCTACCTTCCACATCCTGTATTTCTTCTGCCCGGATCTCTCAGGAAAGAGATGGCTCATTCCCATGAGGTCACTGAGGACGGGGCAGCGTGCGGGCCATTCACACAGGGATGGACAGGCTAATGGGACACAGGGACAGACAGGCTAATGGGACACAGGGATGGACAGGCTAATGGGAAAAAACCAGGCAGGCTAGAGCTCACGGGGCTGGCTGTCCTGGGCACCGCTACCGACTAGGTGTGAAGGGGGAGGACGGGAGGGGACACTGGGATCCAAAAAGTTGTTGGAGAAGCAAGACCAGAGTGGGGGGCATCCCAGCAGGGAGGGACTGAGGGATAAACCCTCAACAGCGATCCCCTCCAGGCCTCTGGTCCCCACCCCATCTCCTTGCCAGAAGCCAACGCGAAGCAAGAGCAAGGGAGCCGGTGGATGGAGAATATAAAGGCCAGCCTCCCAGGGCGCAGACAAAGTGGGGAACGGTGGAGAGTGTCTCCACGGGCCAAACACAGACCGCTGAGCACCGCGCCCACAGCAGAAGTTTCCATCTGCAACTGTGTATCCAGCTCCCGGGGGCCGAGAGGCCTGGCGTCTGCCCCCCACACTCGCCGTGGTTCAGGGGGTGTTCCTGCGGAAGGGCTTCAGCAATAGGAACACCAGCCCCACCCGAGATGCTTCACGCTGCTCCCCTCTGCAGACAGACCCTGAGTCTCGCAAACGACAGGCCTGTCTTTCCTCCTGCCCACACCTGGCCCAGGGTTAGGGTCTCAAGCCCCCTCCCCTGATCCCGAATATCCTCCGTCCCCAGAGCTGCCTGCAGAGGCCCTCACCTGCCCCACCCGCCAGCCGCCTTCACTGCACCTGCGTGGAGGCTCCCAGGCGCTGGGATACAACGGTTCAAAGCCCCAGAGTTATCTGTGTGCGTGGGGTTTCCTAGCTGGGCCCTTCGTGTGGCTCCACAGTTCTTGCCCTCAAGGTCCTCACCAGGGGTCTTCTTCCCCTTTATCACTCCCGCTCCTTCAGGAAGCATTTACTGAGCACCAGGAAGTCGCCGGCCTGCGTGCCACACGCCAGTGACAGTAAACGCACAGAGGTGACAGCTCCTGCCGGGCCCACAGGACCAGCCCCTCGGGCTGCGCACTGCTCGACTCTAGGGGACACTGTTCACATGGCAGCTGTGCCAACGGGGCCCCCACAGCTGCTAAGTGCACAGCCTGTGCGACCCACGGAGCCCCAGCCCCGCTTCAGGGAGTGAAGGGTCCAGTGGGGGAGCGGCAGAAGTCAACACGGTGACGATCCAGGGGTCCACGGGGGGCGACGGGGGCTGTGAGGACAGGGCTCGCCCCACCCCCTCCTCTCAGGAGGCACTGCCAGTCACTTCCCAGAAAGCAGCCCCCGGGGCACACGGCCCTCACCTCCTCCCGCCTCCCCACCGGCTCCCAGACATCCCCTGCATCGGGCCTCACCACCCCCCACTTCTCCCTCCTGGTGACGCCTCCTCCTCGGGCCGATTCCATTCTCTCCTGTCTCCTCCAGGGTCTTAATCCAATGACCACGACTCTCCTGTGTGTGCCCTTTTCCCCTTTGTGATACTGTGATTTAAATAAGGAATATATATTTGGTCTTCCTCCCTACTTCTGGCACAGAGTTCCTAAAAACCCTTGGATTTTCCTAAGGGATAAGAACAGAGGAGCATCTTTTAATATTTGGGCTTTTGTCCTCGGTTTCTGAAATAGCTCCAGGGCCATACAGGTGAGAGGAACGTCGTGTTGCTCATAACAAATCCCTCAACCACACCTGAGTTCATGTTAATGCGGAAAACTCCTAAGGATGGGGCTGGATGTCAGGGGAACAAGCATGTGATGAGAGGGTTAGAACCTTCAGCCCTAGCACCTGAGGGGCGGGGAGAGGCTGGGGTTCAGTCAGTCACCAAAGGTCAGTGACTCGACCCATCACGCCTACGTAATGAACCCCCATAAAAGCGCAGAAACAGGTGCTGGGGGGTGTCTGCCTGGAAAGGAAAGCCCTGCACCCCTCCCCCACTCCCCCTGCCCTGTGCCTCTCTTCCATTGGGCTGATCCTGCATTGTAGCGTTTTACATGAACCAGGAT